GCCAATTTCACGGCTGAGATATAAATAGATCATTGTCTATAAAAAAAGCTCTTTTTCGCAGTCATGTGACTTGGTATCTGTATATAAAATATATATAACAATTCGGAAATTATAAATTCCATCACGAATGACGTTGCAATAAGAGGCCAATTAACATTCCAAAAAATTTCCATCGCTCTTTTTCAACCAGATTAATATTCCATTTTGTTAATTGAGCAACTAATTCCCACAATCCAGAGAATGGGCCCCATGTGATTGCTAGTCGCTAATTATGAGTGCAAACTCAAGTTGTTTAAATTGTTAAGTACACTTAACCCATTCAGTGAACTTAACCCTCCTTTTCCATCATGATCAAGGGTTGGTTTGACATTCTGCGAAAAGTATTTTCCAAAATTGTCACCGTGTGAATGTGACAAGCACGCAAAATGTGTTTTAGCACATCCAAAGCGGATGTGTTTACCGGGAAATACTGGATATTTCTTGCCATGCTAAATAGATAAACAAATCATTTTAGTGCTGTGATTATTCGCTTGCCTATTGTCCAAATTAATTTAAATGACATTCGGCCGTGAGGGGAAAAAGTGTAATAACCTCTCATTTTCGCCCTGAACTTGTGCGAATTTTCCTTATAACTCTGCCACTGGGAGTGAATCGGATTCAGTGCGGTTTTCGCTAGCTCGAAAGCTTTAGACATCACAAGACTTGATAATTGTTATCAATTTCAGACAGCTTTTCGCCTATCAGCGGCATTTATTCGATTTAAAGCCATAAGCTGTGCAATTCATAGGAATAAACAAAATTCCACTTCTCATTCCGGCCTATTCGGCGTTAGTTTTTTTTTTAAAGAGATCCGCCAAATTGCACAACCAATTGGCGAAGTATTGTACAAAAGGCGGGCCAATTATAATTATTTTCGGGGCGGTGAGGCTGGCACGTCTGAGGAAAACAGAAATCGAGAAAATTAAGTATATAGTTGCGGCACGAACCCGATATATAGTTGCATGTGTGCTTTTCGCTCAGGCAGCCAAACTAACGTGAATGATATAACATTTGTTTACGGCTGCGTTGCATCGTTCTTTTTCGCCCGCTTCCGCAATTCTCATTCAGGCGATGGGGATTTACGTGGCGCGTGTGGCTTGCGTAGTTCGCCCATCACATCACTCATTTGCACTTTGCATTCTGCACTGGCAGTCTGCAAATATATTGATATTACCTCACGGCAGCACCAGCACCTGGTTGTTTTTGAGAGCAGAGCAGATTAACACATGGCTGTGCTCAAGCATTGGGTTAAGGTTGAGGAAGAAGAAGTCCCAGGATGTCGACCTGTCGAAGAAGTTGTGGTAGAAAATCTCATTTTTATTTATATTGTTTAATCGCTTTGCTTATATGTTGTATTTTTAACTCGCTGCTAGGAAAATTGCATGCAATAATTAAATTTATAATCCCATCACCCTTCTTTACTAAGTAGTCTTTCATTTTAATCAACATATACTAGCTTAGTCCTATATAGCCTATATCCTATAGCCAGAAACCAAATGTATTCAATTGTTTTAACCTTTTCCATTTTGTTCCTTACAGTACCTCGACATTGGCGAGGATATGAATGTACCTGATGACTTCACACAAAAGGAGATGCAGACGGGCCTCTGGTGGCGACACTTGGTGGCGGGTGGCATTGCCGGAGCAGTTTCCCGGACGTGCACAGCGCCGCTGGACAGGATCAAAGTGTACTTGCAGGTTAGTCTCTTGCTAACATTTAAATGACTACCATATAAATATTAAAACAATTGAATCCTCTCGATGTAGGTACAAACGCAAAGAATGGGAATCTCAGAGTGCATGCACATCATGCTGAACGAAGGCGGATCGCGAAGCATGTGGCGAGGCAATGGCATCAATGTGTTGAAGATTGCCCCCGAAACTGCCTTCAAGTTCGCTGCCTACGAGCAGATGAAGCGACTGATCCGCGGCGAGGATGCCAGCCGGCAGATGAGCATCGTGGAGCGTTTCTACGCGGGCGCTGCGGCAGGCGGAATTTCACAGACCATCATCTACCCCATGGAAGTATTAAAGACGCGTCTGGCGCTCCGCAAGACGGGTCAGTACGCGGGTATTGCCGATGCCGCGGCCAAGATCTACAAGCACGAGGGAGTGCGCAGCTTCTACCGCGGCTACGTGCCCAACATCCTGGGCATCCTGCCTTACGCCGGCATCGATCTGGCGGTGTACGAGACCCTCAAGCGACGGTACATTGCCAACCACGACAACAACGAGCAGCCCAGCTTCCTGGTGCTCCTCGCCTGCGGCAGTACATCGAGCACACTGGGACAGCTCTGCTCCTACCCGCTGGCCCTGGTGCGCACTCGGCTACAGGCTCAAGGTGAGGAATATGGCAAACAACAAGGGCTACATTTAAACTAAACTTTAAACTTGATTCTATTTTCATTAACGTATCGGTTAAACAACAATAGTTGGGATTATAGATTAATTAAATCAGTTGGTTATCAATACTTCAAATTAAAATATCAGTTGCACAAATTTATTTGGAACATCCTTCAAAACTTATATATAACTGACTTTATAGATAAGTCATGAAAAGACTTTCAAATTAAATAAATCTTAATAGTGAAGTCTTAGTAAACATTTTATCAGTTGAACAAATATATTAGGAACTATGACTGATTTATTAGTTAGTTATCAATATTCATCATTAATTTCTTTGTATTTGAAAGTGATTAGTAGTCTATATATCGCAATGCTATAATTATTTTCGTATTTTCTCTTGCAGCCGCCGAAACCATTGCCAATCAGAAGCGGAAGACGCAGATACCCCTGAAGAGCAGCGATGCGCACAGTGGCGAGGAGACGATGACGGGCCTCTTCCGCAAGATCGTGCGGCAGGAGGGTCTGACGGGGCTGTACCGCGGCATCACGCCCAACTTCCTCAAAGTGCTGCCGGCGGTGTCCATCAGCTACGTGGTGTACGAGTATACGAGTCGCGCCCTGGGCATCAAGATGTCGTGAGATGTCTGTCTGCCCCAATCTCGCTCCGATCAGGTCAACGCGGCTCGACTCGGCCCGGTCGTCCGGCTGTGGTTCCGCTCTGCAGGGCGGATCGGGCTGCGGCCGGGCAGGCGGCTGGTTGCTGGTGATCCTGCCCAAGCTGTGCTCCATTTGTATAGTAGTAGCGGTAGGTTAAGACGGCCAGCCAAATCGTCCGCCACTCGCTCTCTGCTGCATCGAGACAGTCTCGTGCCGCTTTCCTTAAGTGTAAAGCTAAACAAACACAGGCCTCTTCCATGTTCTGGGTTATCCTTTTAAGTTTTTATAGTTGAATTAGTTTGGTTATTTTCTTAAAATACAAAATAAGTGATACTACGGCTAATTTATTTATAAATGCAAAGGCGAGAAAATGTTACATTTTGGCGCGTGAATGATGCGAGCTAATCCCACACATTTCTTAGGCTATCTATCCTGCGACCTACAAGTAGGTCTAGGCCACTCTATCTCTTAAGTGCTAATTTATTTACAAATGTACGCAGTCTACTTCGAGGGCAATCGCACTCAGTAAACTGCCAAAAACACACATACCAAAAACGGAACCGGCTTTGCGGAGTTTCACGGGTTTTCAGTTTGTCCTATCCGACTGCTTTCGAAAGCGAAAAAGCGAAATAGTGAAAAAAAAGCGTTAATCAGAGTGAGCGAGGCAGGCTGAATGTAAGGGAATCAGAAACCTAATGAACATATAGATATTCGGCAGCGTTTTAAGCTTAAACACAAAAGACATTAAAACTACGATGTACTCGTTTCTGCTTAGACTAATGGATTACACAAAATAATGAGAAACACTTAACGTTTACAATGTGATGATAATAGTTTATAATATACACATATATACACATATACCTACGATAATACCGACTTGTAAGCTTCGCAGCTGTCGCAGTCTTGAACAAGTTCGACGGCGAGGCTGAAACTTTTTGTAGCATTTTATTTGTTAAGTTTAGTAACACTTTCTCTTAGATCGTATTGCAATTGAAGCCAACGAGATTAATTGTGACTAAAGCTAACAAACAAAACACAACACAACATCCACACACCATGTAATTTATTTAATATATCATGTGAATCTGAACCCGACCAATCTTAAGTTTAATCCTTTTATATACACATTGTAACGGTTCTGAATTTAAAAGTTTATGTATAATCTGTACCTTACTCTTAATTAGCCAATTGAATTTTGTACGTCTATAGTGAAAATAATGACTCTTTAAATATGATTTTTCATTACCCCTAAACATGCTTGACCGCAACACCGCATTTCTATGAAATCATTTGACCTATTTAACTAAAATTGACCATTGAAAACCATGCAAACATTATTCGAGCAAATAAATACAACAATTAAAATGAAATTTCAACACAGAATTTGTTTATAATTTATTAGTCTTATGTTTCTCAATTCCACAGGATTTTCTGATACATCTAGTCAGAGATAATTTAAGTTTTGTCCCTAAGCCCGTATTTGTTATGACGAACGGAGTGCTACAGAACAATGTTTAAGAAAATACTCTCTTCTTCTTTACTTAAAGGTCTTTCCAAACTGAAAAACGAATGGTTGACAAAGTCAAAGTCTATCTAGTCCATGAAAAAATCTTAAACTTAATGAAAATTTAAACTTAACTTTAATGTTTTCCAGGCGAAGAAAATATACTTAAAACATTTAACTACGAATATATAACTATAAATACTCTGATATACATATTGTTATATTTTTGTACGTTTAGCTAATTTTTAAATAAATTATTTAATGTGATTTATAAGCTCGATTCCAGTTACAAATAAAAATGAATATTATAACTGATCGCTGGCGTTTTAAGTGGAAGAAAGTTCAAAATAAATCAAATCCCAAAAATATATCGAAAGCGAAAACCGATGACTACTGGTTCTAGTTCAGAATTCACCGTCGAGTATTTATAATGCGGCGAACTGAACGATCGGTGCTATTTTTGGAGAGCGAACGTCCGCCAGCTGTTTTCAATACTCAGTCGGAAAACGCGGACGAGATCATTTTTTCATCCGCTGCACTGAAAATCTGAATAGGATTTTACATAATTTGGAGTAACAATGGAGTTCGACACGTCCTATCATCAGATATGCTCGGCGCAGACAGTTCAGTCGGAAAAGAGGGGATTCTTTAACGAGTTCTGCGTGGATGTGCGGGATGCATGTGGCGACAAGTGGCTGCGGAACTACTTTGGCAAACTGAAGTCCAATGCGGCCCGTGTTCTGTCGATCTTCAGCGACCGCGAGGTGTGTGATCCCGTCCTGGGTGTCCTGGAGCACGTTCAGCCCGTCTTCAAGCAGAAGGATGCCCTCTTCTCCGCCCAGCGACGTGCCCAGGCGGACAAGTTCTATCTGATGAGTGCCAATGGCAATGGCAATGGCGAAGACGTGGAGAGCAGGGAGCTGCTGCAGCAGGCCCTGATGGCCGCCAATCTGGCCGTGATGCGGGCTCCGGACCGGAATGTCGATCCCGTCATCGACGATGGCCTCACCCTGGCCCTGGCCTACAGGTCGAGGGCCTCCATCCTGATCCGCCTGGGCGAGGGGGAGGCTGCCCTGAGTGACCTCAAGCTGGCCACCAACTTTGGACTGGAGTTGAAGTCCAGTGTGGAATACTACTGCAAGATGGCCAAAGCTTATGCAGGTGGGTGAACCATTAATGCCCTACAGGTTTAACCATGTTAAACTAAAATATAATTTTATTATCAGTGTGATCATCACCTAAAAATATTCAAAAAAATGTTCATTATGATGAATAAGTTTGAAATGAATATTTTAGTTGAATTAATTTTCTTTGGTAAAATAAATTTAACTTCAAAAAATAATCAATGTAATAAAAACCATTAGCTGCTGTGGGGTTTGACTAATTTTAATGGATTTTCTGAAATTTATGAATAAAATAATATAATTAATATTTAATTTCTTGCAGTCATGGGCGAACCGGCCCGTGCTGAGATCTCACTAAAGATTGCCGAGAAGATGGCTGGCTCCGATCCCAACCACATCGCCCTGTGTCGCAAGGAAATAGCTGCAGTGAAGCCAATTGCCAAAGTGGCCTCCTCAGAGCAGGTGCCACAGTTGGCCCATGGCGAGAACCCCGAACTGAGTGGTGCCTCCAAGGTAGTGAAGCTGGTTGAGACCAAGGAGAAGGGTCGATTTGTGGTGGCCAGCGAAGGCATAAGGACGGGCGATGTGCTGCTCTGTGAGGAACCAGTGGCCGCCTGTCTGGATCCCAGTTTTTTTGGCACCCACTGTCACAACTGCTTTAAGAGGTGAAATTACTCCTTATATTATCAGGATATATCTCTATATGAAAAAACTTTAAATTTTAGACTGCACACTCCAGTTTCCTGTCTGCATTGCTCGGGAGTCGCCTTCTGCTCGGCTCAGTGCATGGGTGAGGCTTGCTCCAGCTACCATCGGTTCGAGTGCGAGTTCATGGATCTGCTGATTGGCTCCGGAATGTCCATATTGTGCTTCATCGCCCTGCGCGTCTTCACGCAGGCGGCCAACTTGGAGCAGGGACTGGCCACTGCCAACCTGCTGTTCGAGCACATGTGCTCCCACGAGGACGAGCGCCAGCCGGAGGACTACTTGCAGCGATCCCTGATGGCTGGCTTCCTCATGCGCATCCTCCAGAAGTCCCTCTATTTTGGGCGTCGCAAGACTGAGGGCGTGAATCCCACGGCCGTGGAGCTGCAGGTGGCCACCGCCTTGCTGGGGCTGCTGCAGGTGCTCCAGTACAATGCCCACCAGATCTACCAGACCCAGGTAACCGAGGAGCATCGGTTCGACGGCAGCAAGATGGTGCATGTGGCTGCTGGACTTTATGGCACTGGTTCCTACTTCAATCACGAGTGCTGGCCCAGGTGGGTTTTTGTATATAAACAATATTTGAAATGCTAATGGAATCTTCACTATAATTTATTATTTATTTATATTATTAATTTTTTAAAACGATTTATTTTTAGCACTGCTTGCCATTTTGTGGGCAAAAAGTTAGTCCTCACGGCCAACAAGCCACATAGGCCCAACGAAGTGGTGGCGGTTAATTACGGACCCATTTTCATCAAAACGAATCTCAAGGAGAGGCAGCGAAACTTGCGGGGCAGATACTCCTTCAGCTGCAGTTGCATGGCCTGCCAGGAGAACTGGCCTTTGTTCCAGAAACTGGACAAACAAGTGCGATTCTGGTGGGTATTAAATCGAAAATAGAATCGATAATATTATATAAAAATTTTAATTTAATTTTATTAAAGGTGCACTTCAGCGAACTGCGTTAACTTGCTCAAGTTTCCCAAGGACTTGGCGAAGGATGTGCGCTGTCCTCGCTGCCGCAAAAACATTTCTCTTAAGGAAAGTGTAGCCAAATTGATCAAGATCGAGGAACTATATCGAGAGGCTGCCCGCGCCATGGTGGCCCAGAAAACCGGAGAGGCTATTGAACTTTTCAAGGAGGGAATCGAGATGTTCTTCCATGTGGCTGCTTTGCCCCACAAGGACACACTGTTGGCTCAGCAATCGCTTAATAAATGTTTGTCCGACACGGGCACCACTTTCAAAAAGGATGGAAAATAGGAAACAATTTGTCACTGGCTTATGCATGTATTATTAAATCGTTTTTTCTACTTGAATACAAAATAAACTTGAAATAAAATATGTAGTTAAAATATTTTATAGGACTTTAACAAATTGAAGAGCTTTTTCTGGCTCTCGTAAGGCTAACTGATATGTTTGCATTTGAGAATTTAACCGCCTGATTTCAAATTATAAATGTTCTAAATTCCGATAAGAGTCTAAGTCTATCGATATTTTTAGAGCGATTGTCCGATTCTCTTATTTAATAGGTATTTGCTGTCAGTCAAGATACGGTCACACTATTCCCGACTCGCATTTGTTTTGAAATATTTTATTTTGTTTTTCCGGCCAAAATGTTCAAAAAACTGAAGCCAGGCGAAAGCGAGGACGATGTCCTGCGAATGGCAGCTGAGTTTAATGCGGAGAAAGCGAAAAATCCCGACTTCCAGCCTGCTGCGGCCTTTGTGCGAATGGATAGGCGTAAGACCATATTGCAAAATATTTAATGAAATACATTGCTTATGTACCAAAATTTGTAGCCACTAAGGTGTCACTGTTTGCCCAGAGACGCGAGCAGGCGAAACTGGGTCGTATTACCTCCGTTCCAGAAAAAAAAGAAGAACTTTCTCCGGCAGCTGAAGAACTTCCAAAGATGTCAACAAGTGCCTCCAAAGAGAGTAGAACACATGTCAACCAAGTTCTGCTTGATGAAATTCAGGAAAACATTCTGGGCGATGTGAAGGGAACTAAAATATATCTAAGTTCCCTAGGCCATGTATTAGGTGAAATTGTAGAAAGAAATGAAGAATCCATACGGCCTGTCTTTCAGCCAATCAGACAGGTATTTTTAATCATGCAAAAAATTGTGGTACATGTAAATATGTAAATAATGATTCTGCTTACTTAAGGTCAACACCAACAAACCCTTGAGCATTTTTGCCAAACAACTTTTGGGATCACGTCCACAGAATCCTGAAACATCGAAAATCCAGTCGGATTCACCAATAAATGATACAAGTTCTATAGTAAAAGATGCTAAACTGGGCAAAGAACTGCACAAGGAAAACCTTAATGTCCTAAGCCAAATGAGCGAAAAGGATATTTTGGCAGAGAAGGAACGGTTGATGGCTTCTTTGGGTAAAAATTAGCTTTTATATAAGTACTATTACTTTAATAAACAAGAAATTACCTTACAGATCCCTCACTGATTGCTTTGCTGTCCAAGAAACGTCAAGCCAGTCAAAAACCTGTGGCAAAAACAGCTTCTCCCAGGATAATTGAGGCACCACCACAGCCACCTAAAACCATACAGTCTTCAGAAGTCCCTAGTCCAGAGATTTCCTCTCTATCACATTCGAATCCAGCTCTAGAGCTTTTGCAACAGAGTGATGCAGGCAATTGGGTTAATTTCAATCTCGTGGAGGAACACAAGCTGGCGTGGATGCGGGACATTCCAACCAAGGTAAGCGAATTGAAGCCAGGACAGCAGTTCAATGCCCGCTTCGATTGGAAGGGTGTACTCTTGCCCCACACGCTTAAGGATCAGGATATTTCAAAGCCATTGGATGAACGAGAGCTGTATCTACATGGCGAGGAGGCAGAACGTCCGGGCTATGCACTTCAAGAGCTGTTTCGACTGGCTAGGTGAGCTCTTCAAACCCTTAACGATAATGTTTACTTATCTTACATTAAATTGTTTCCAGATCCACTGTCTTACAACAAAGAATATCCGCCTTTGGAGCCATAGCTGGGATCTTTAGCATATATAACCAGGGTTTCTACGATCAGGTGCTGTCCCTGCCAATATCGAAAATATTCTTCCTACTGCGCTATGGTCTTGATGACAATGCCCCCGCACAACTTGAAGTTGTAAGCAGAGCTCTAGCCAACCTCTTCTACAACGATACGGACGAAGTGCTCCTTGATCATATTCAGGATAACGCGTACTGTCATTGGCAGCCAACGCTGCAGGTTTTGGGAAATGGCAGCGATGACAAAGAAGGAAATACAGATACCAATTCTATAGCTTTTCTACAACGCACCATGAAACTACTGACCACCAGTCAATCTGTGCGCGCGGAAGTAGAGGAAGATGAGTCGGAGAGTCGCATGTCCATGGATGACTTTCAACTGGCGGAGACTGACTTAATGGACTGCCTGCTCAGAACAAATATAGTGCAAAGGATCAGGTAAGCTATTATGAATTATATAGTCTATTATGAATTATACCTAACAAAGTTCTGCTTTTAGATTCATCTTGGTTTCAGTGAAACCAGACAATAGCACAGTAGAGTCCTGCCTGAAATTGCTTATAAGGATCGCTCGCACAAGTCTCAAAGTGGCTCGGCAGTTGGCAAACGAAAGCCATCTTATAGATATACTTTTCACCCATTTTCTACCCTCTTCGAATGGAAATAGTCAGTTTTATGGCCAGCCCCAAGTTCTTTTTCTAAAACTGATTCGAGTGTTGATTTGCCAACACTTGGATATAGCCAAGAGTCTCTCTAAAAGAGTCCTAATTGTTCGGCTGCAACAATACTTGTTCCTTCAAGATAATAAGGTTTGTATTAGAATTTATGTATAATTTATGTCAAAGTATGTATATGAATTAAAGGGAATCTCATTGGCAGGTCCAGATGGTGCGCGTTCAGATCGAGGCACTGCGCATCCTGCGCTGTCTGCTGCTCTTGGGAATCGTGGATCGGGATGTGTTCAGGTGGGTGAGCGCTACCCAAGTAGCACTATTATCTCATCCCATAAAAATTGGCCATTTACTGCGATGTAGCACTGGATGGTCTCAAAAGCGGTGTCACAGCCATCTTTTCCCTCTGTGGAGCGTTCCATATAAATCGATATATATTTACCAAAATAGTGTACCTACTCTTGGTGCCACATGCGCTGACTAGTCCATTGATTGTGTTGTGTATTTGCTCTGGTAGAATTTCCAGCAGTGACTCCAGGTGCATGACGTTCTGCGAGTCAATCTGTGGGCAAGATGGTCTAGTTTTTACATTTTTTTATGTATTTATGTAGAGTATACCAACCAGTCCGAACATGTCAAACATGCAGTGTACAAAGCATTTGATGTGTGGATCGTTGGGTATAACTCTATTCTTGGTCGACTGCTCCAATAATTCTTTTATTTTTTCGGATATTTGTTTATTCCTTCTGAGTTTTATACCTATAAATGTCACTTACCTAAGGAAGCTCCTGTCTGATTTAAGCATCGCAATTGTAGTTTCTTTACTTGTTTGATGATCATGGGGTTAATCTCCATCTATGGAGCGAAACTTAGTGCATTTTCAAGCAGTTTTATGAAAAAACTTACTCCTTGGTTTACAGGAATTGAATCATATATAAGGAACACCGCCAGAAGTAGTCCGAAGTTCCAGGAGGCCATTGTATAAATGATTTTGAATCCGGCCGTAAAATTGACTAAGTCGAACTGAGCTTCGTTTAGACGGCAGCTCATTTTTATAGCCAATACCGAGTGCTGATAATAACTATGATTTGAACTCATTTTCAGGCAGTTCCAGCCCGCCCTTCGTCAGCTATTGGACTGGCATGGCAATCATTGTACTTTTGAGCAAGTGGGCGGATCGCGGCTGGTGCGCCAACACGCATCCGCCCTGTTGGTCGCACTGGTGGCAAGTGGCGAGAGCGGAGCATGCGACGTCGAGGGTCAGAAGCTGCTTCTGGAATCGCTGAACAACTGCTGCTGCAGCTGGCTGCATTCAGCTGCCCGAGTCGAAAAGATCAAAGATGTAAGTTGTCATGGTCACTGATTCCAGTAGATCTCTGTTATCAGGTTTAAGATCAAATTGAGTCAATGCCGCGCTTTGTCCCATTGAAACCTTTGCACTTTATAAACGTGCATTTGTATTATAATTTTTATTCCTAGTTCAGCCAGATGACGCTTTTGAGTGCTGCCCTGTATGCAGTCACCTGGTTTTCTCGCAATGGCTACCTAGGAACTACCAGTTTCCAGCCCTTCCTGCGCAGCATCCTTCCGAAATTCGTGCAGTCCAGCGGCTTCATAGCAAGCGTTCATGACCTGGAGTAAGTTGAGTGTGGAAGACGCCGGTTGAATCACATTTAATTGCTATTTCGCAGCAAGGGATCCGTAATGCTGCGACGCCCTGTTGATCGGCGCCACGTGCATGCGGCGTTGCCCAATGTGGGCGCAGTGCTGATGCACGACTACGGTCCGCAGTTGATTGTCAGTGAGACGTATCCGGTGCACCTGTTGAGTAACCTCTGGGCCCTGCTCGCCGTTTCGCTGGAGATGGGCGAGAAGTCATTGTTTGCGGCGCTTATGCAACCGCCGGTGCTGGAGCCGCTGGCCAAGTATCTGCGCCAGTTGAGTTCCCAACTGAACCGCGTCCTGGCCACCAATTTCTTTGCCCGCAGCGAGCTGAGGTTCATCCACCAGCTCCTGACCACGGACGGAATGGAGACCTACTTGGAGCGCCAGCAGTTGCTGCAGTTGGTCTACAACTACCTATGCTGCCTGTCCACCGCCCATGCCACTCAGATCAAAAGCACATTTGAGCGCTACATCTTGAACGGAGAGTTCGTGAAGTTGGACGAAGCTAGTCTTAAGCTGCTGCAACAAACATGCCTGGAAATGGTCTATCCACACATAATTGCTGTACGTATACCATGACACTTTAATAAGGGAAAACTTATTTTCACTAGAGAACCAATATCCATTTATAAATAATTAGAGTCCTAATTAAAAATTAGACTTGCTGCATCCTGAAAAACCAAGAATGTTATTTGCCTTTAATATTTATGTAGTAATATATTATGATATACCTGTTGTGACTAGAGTTACAATTAAAGGTTTTTTATTTTGCAGCTTTAGGCTAAAAATTCTCAATAAGAAACAATAAGTTATCTTTGAAAAATAACCTCTGCAGGAATTTTAAAATAATTTAAAATATAACTTTTATATGATAATAACCTTAATTTATGCATTGCTATTCTTTTTATTTTTATAGTACTTATTAATGAATTCAAGTTGAATTATAAGTTTTGTGTTTAAAGAGTTTAAAAGCATTATTAGTATTAAATATAATTAAATCTAATTTTGCCAGACATCCCATTAATTTTTGTCGATGTAGCTAAACATCTCTTATTTCTTCCATCATACTTATAAATTTTTTTTTTGCTTTCCCCCAGGACAACTCGGAGCCGTCACTATCCTTGAGTTATACCCAAGCACCCATCCTGCCTGCCGACTGGCCTTTTTTCCAGCTGCGGCTTATCCTCAGCAATTACTTGCAAAATGTTCACCAGCGGCCAGCGGCAATATGCTCAGGTGAGAACGAACATCTCCAACTTTGCTATTCTTGGGAATTACAAATATTTTGTTTTTGCCGAGCAGAAAACCAGATGGTCCGCATGACGTTGACTTTCGTGCGGCAACTGGAGCAAGAGGGCTTGCAGATTGTAAGCCCGCTGGAGAAGCTAATGTATCTGATGATTGCCTTCATGGGTCCCGACTCACAGTTTCTGGCTCCGGATTTGCATGAGCTGCTCCGGGACTGCCTGATGGATTTCTACAAGCAGAACGCCTCGCATGACTTTGACTTTGATGCGGAGCTGGTAGATAAGGCCAGGTTCGAGCCGCTCTACTATCTCTTTGTGGAACACTTCGAGGCAGCCAGCTATGGCGATGAGCTGTTCAGTTCGCTGGTGCTGTTGCCATTGGCCCAAAAGTACGATAACAAGTGGCGAAGGCGTCTGTGGTCTGAGCATGTGCAGGCAGTGCGGTTTATAAACTGCGATGAGAGTTTGGTGCGTACATAAATGAATTTTAGTTTAAATAAGCAAACCTAGTTCTGGTTATTTTGAATATTTTCAGTTGATGGGCGGCTTGTCTGCCTATTTGGAGCCCGTGGAAGAGGAGCCTTCAATGGTGCAGCTCTACGGGGATGCTTTGCAGCAGAAGCTGGTTCGTCCAGGCAGCATTGCCTATCGGATAGCACAGCACCACTTCAACAACTCGAAGGCAGTGCATAAAGCCAAATTGTTTTGATTATCTGAACATTAATTGCTGATATTCGTAGGAGCTCTTCAGGGAATGTGATGAAACTGCGATAAAGCTATTTAATTTTGGAATCCAAAGTCTTTTGAATGTGACAATATGCTATTTTTGAAAGCTGACTGATTTGGGTTTATCTGTTGGCTGTTCAAAGTGCTACCTTGGAGTAAGGAGTGTATAATTTTTTTAAAAGACAATTAGTAAGTTGACACAAATTCAAAAATATTTTCTTCAGTTAGGCGATAGTTAAAATTGTACAACTTGTAGTACAAACATAAGTAATTGCTGGAAATTCCCTTAGGTCGTTTGTCATTATTGCGTTGCAGTTTGGCCAGAGTGGCCCAGTGGTCCATGGCGAATAATTAGTCTTGCGGGTGTATTTCGATTTCGGTTAGAGGATTCCGTGGTTGTGTAACAGTGCCTTTTGAGGTAATTACGACCAAACGTAATACAGTCTATGGCAGGCTGTCGGTTGCAGAGCATTTTGCTATCGACCTCAATTAATTAACATCATTTGACTTATTGACACATGGGCCACGACAACTTACCTCCTCCTTTGAGGCTATCGCAGCCGTAAGCTTTGACGGCTGATAAAATACATATATGTAATTAAAATGAACACAATTGAGGGGCCAGTGCTAATTAAATCATTTGATCTAAGTACTCGTGCATGTTCGTTTTTTGTTTCCTATTTCTATACTTGCCCATACGCCTTGGGTTCTTTTTCAGCACCCCACACTTGTCAAGTGACTTGTCACGGGGCTTTCGTTTGACACATGGCGTATGCGCAACATTATGCCACATAATTTCACTTTCGCATGATTTATACCCATCGAAATAAAAAAAAAAAACTAAAAATCGCGTGGCATAAGCCTATGAGTGTTTATGTGATAATTGGTTTCAAATGGACGCTAATTATTTTATTACTGCGAGGTGTGAGCGCCATCGGTAAATATTTGCGAAGACCTCATAAATTTAAACAACGCTAATCTCTTAAGTCAACCGAAATTATATTTCGATCGAATGGTCTATTAATAGGCTGTCCAAACTTGATTGCCACTTAAGAATCGAAACTGATATTGAATGAACTGCATAAATGTATAGCTTCAAAGCTAATTGCATTGTTATCATTGACTCCTTGAGAATTAATCATCGGTGATTTAAAAAGGTGTTTGATTTGGAAATAAAATAGTACAAATTATTAAAATAACATCTCAAAAAATAAACCATGCATGTTAACTTTATTCAAACTTCACTGGTTGAATGAGTTTTTCTTTACAAAATCAATAAAGTGGGCCAATGATTTTGTTTGATAAGGCACCAAGGTTTCACAGAGTTACATTTGCCCACTTTGATGGTTGTAGGCCAAATTTCTGGTATTTATATATGAATGCAGGTATCCGGAGTCGCTCCTTATCGTTGATAAAAACATTCGAAAAGCTAGATAAGCAAGCTCCCATTTATTGGAGGCCCTCGATATCACTGTGCTCGCCAGTTAATGAAACCCATTGGCCTCTGTTGGCGATCAACCTCCAAATATTTGCATAGCATGCACTTGACAAAGAAACCGGTTTTGATTGCTCCGAATCCCTCTTGGGATTCCCCAATTGTCATCCAGAAAAATATTTGCCCCTTTCTCTGTCGTCCAAGCGAAGGTATGTAAAAATGTCGCATAGCGATATCTGTCTCTTGTATTTGCCAACAGCTGGTAAATATTTGGAATTAGTCGTGGTGAAAAAACAACTGTCAAGTTTGCAAAATTACTTTTTAAGAATTCCTTATTAAAAGCTGTTAAAAATGGATTTCTCAAATGCTTATTTGAAAAAATTTGTATATCCATCTGATTTGATTTTTAAAATTTGTAAAGTGGAGTTTTTTAATTAAAAAAAACCAAGTAAAGATAACCTTTGGATTTCGAATTTTTAATCTGAAAAATATAAAATTCTTAATTGGTAAAGTTTAAATAATTAAAAAAGAAACAAGTCGAGCCTTGGCAGTAAATAAATATATATAAAATTGTGGTATAAATATTTCCAAATGTTCACATTACCTTCTATATTATTTAAATCATATTTTCTGGGCTTTATTATTATGAATGTCTTCTTTAGAGAAAAACCTGACTGTCTGATTGATTCACGAGTATAAATATTTTCTTAAAGTGATTAACTCGAATTTTTATCGCTCGAAGTGTATCTAAATGCATAGACTCAGTAACAAAGTTCTGGTTACAGCGCTACCTGAGTCATATTGTAACCCATTCAGTTTGCAGTCACGAAGGTATTTCAGTAACGTATACATTATGACACGATACAACAAACATTTGTAAGGGTGCAAAAGCCACCACCAAGTTTCAGAACTCAAGAATTGCAGATATCCCACAGATACTATTATACCAAACTCGGCGAACTCCGTTTGCGCGTGTGTGAAGTGGAATTTTTGTGCCGCTTGTTTGGGCAACTTGGGTTCGATTCGATCTCGCTATATACTATATACTATATAGGTCGTTATGCTGTCATTTGGTGCCTCAGCATTTGTTTGTTCGCCGCATTCGGCGGCGGCGAATTCGTTCGTTCGTCGCCGTCGCTTTTGATATTTTGTGGCGATCGCGGCGCTAGTTGGCCTCAGTCATTCGTCGACTCTCTGCACGTGCGTTTGGGTTAGCTATATAGCTCATAGCTCACAGCTCCTCATCGGAATAGGGAATCGAAGATCGGGAAGTGGGAATCGCAGGTCTGCCACGTTTGTGCGCCCAAAAAACATCCATCGATCGAAGAAGTAAACACTGCGTTATTTTCGGTGCTGGATATTTATTTTCGAAACAGGCCCCTCTAGGCAAGTGCTCAAGAGTGCAAGATACAAAAGTATACGCGTATCCGAGAGATACAAATGTATCTGCCCCACCTAGGAAACAATCCATACCCATCCTAGGCTGCTCATCCTACTGGAACACTATTAATTAGCTCGAAAAAAAGCGTTTTGCAGTGCGAGAAAGCGGAACATTTAATGAAAATGCAAATGCAATTGCTTGTGTTTAAATTCCATTGAAGTGCCCTTCTGTACAAACCAATTTGTTGTGACGGTGCAAAAGTACTTTTGGGGAATTTTAAGTGGGTCTTGCGACTCGTATTGGAATTCACCCGAATCTCAAGTACTTACCATACAGTTCCGCCACTGCTGATAATAAAATAATTACTTGTATGCCCAACCACAAGTGAGCTACGTTTTCATTTTCGTTTTCGTTTTCCGATTTCGAATTTCGCTGGCGCGGGTAAATATTTACCAAAGAGTACAAGAAAGTGTACAGTGAAAAGTTCGTAAATTACCGGCAATTTGGCACACACATGTAGAAGCAGAACAAATTTATTAATTACCTGCCAGTTGGATATTAATTTTTGAGTTTCGGTGAGTTTGCAAAGCAGCAAAAATACACGTTTAATTTTATTCACCTTCTGGTTTCGGCTTTTTGGCCAGCTGTGTTGCCTTTGTTTATCTCCCTGTTTGCGCAAACGTGGGTTTTTTTGTCTATGCGGCCTGCAGTAATTTAATAAACCTCACCTCCTCCGCGACCGCATTCAATTTAATTATGAAAGCTTTTAAACAAAAGTCTTCGTATACCCTCTATTCCGATTGTCTCCCCTTTTGTGTATAAAATATCTTAGGACGATATTCACTCTGGTCAGCAGTCTTATCAAACCGCTTTTCCAAGTTTTTCTTCCCGCGAAACGCACATTAACGTATTTTTTAGCATCTCTGTCAGTCTGTCAGTAATTGCCTTGCACTTGAACTTGAAAGCCATTTACCAGTTTTCCGGGTCCGGTCTCGTCTATCTTTGGCAAGTGCTCTCGTTCATCTCCACGTATTTGTGACACTAAATAGGGTAATAAATCATCGGTGCAGTCGTCTATCTTTTCGAAATTCTATAACGACAATCTTGAAGACGCTGTAATAGAATCATCCAGCTTGGATTGCGGTCAGTTGTCATTTATTGCGAAGCATTCCTATATATCTGGCACTAGAGTTCGTTATTTAATAGCTTACAACTATTTTGTTTTTATATATTTTTCCATGCCACTTAGTATACAAATATACACTTTAAGTCCTCTTCGAATTACGAAAATTTGGATTTTGTTTTTCATATTTCATTAATTTACTTTAAGATATGCAAGAAGTACAATTTTTAAATTTAATTTGTGTACTTTAAAGCCTATTAAAACTTGAAGTACTTATATAAAATGTATACAACATTTTCCAGAAATAAATGTTGGTTTTCTTTCAAGTACCTTTTCAAAACGGCTTAAAAGTTTTTAAGGGGAAAACCAATAACAAGTGCATTTGAAAGTGCATATCAAATTGTGTTAAAAAATGTTTAAAATTAAACAAAAATGAAGAACTCCTGAAATTTGATATTTTTTTGGACAAACTTAGCATATGGGAAAAATACAATCCCATCTGGCAACAGAAATCCTGCATATACCTTTTCTATCTTCTTAAAATTTGGAATCCATGGGAATTTCTTTGTTTTAAGGATTTTAAAAAACACCAAATATCTTTATATTGATAATTAACAAATATTAAATGCATTTTCACACCAGAAAATGCATATTTTTTCAATATTGAAAATTAAACAAAATTAAAGACCTACTGAAACTGGATATTTGGTATTAAATATTTATCTTAAAGTGTAAAGCAAACACTCGCAGAGTAGATTTCATAACTTTTGAACCTGCGCAAACAAAAGGAAAAGCCGAACAGCATGAAATGCAGCTGCATATGTGGTACGAAATAGCGCCTGGCAACAGAAATCCTGGTCCTGGGGTTGCAGTCCTGCCACCCCGAATGGCGAACCCCGAGCCCCGAACCCTGAACCCTAGTGATCGACATTTGTTATGGGGTTGCATTTGAAGGTCGTGGCCTATATAAGCCACACGGCAATGCATCCGAGTGTGTGTGAATATAAAACTGAACTGGATTCCGCGGGGCTCAGCTGGTCGCTGTCGGAGCCCATAAAGGCGAACTGGCGAACGGAATAGAACACATGCCCCGATTAACTTGTCCATTTGCCAAGCCATTGACACAGCCCGACTAATGGAAATGCAACTCAAATTGTCACTGCTCCTCTTAATGGTTGTCGACTGGTGCTGCTAGATGTGGGTGCGGCGGGGGTCGCTGGATTTGCGGCTCAACTGGCGCTAAAGCTGGCTGATCCAAGAGCTTTGACTGTCAGCCACAGACAGTGGGCACACCGCCCCCCCTGCCCATTCCCTAGCAAATGAAAAACGCGGGGAAAGCAAGACAACGAACCGGAGATCACAACAGAACAGAACGCAACGCAATGGTGAACAAATAACAAATAAACTAATAAATCATTGACCTTGCGAACCTTGACGAAGCGAGTGACTGCACGGGTTAGACTTAGACTGTCGACCAAAAAGTGCACGGATGTCATTTGATGGTGACTAGACGGTGATACACTAAAAATAATATGTTATTTCTGAACTAAATACAAAAAATATTTGCAAAAATCGGAACATATTTATATATTGAAATTTGTTTTAAAAAGAGTTTTTCAAAAAATACAAATAAATAGCCATTTAGTTCTTAACCTATAACTAAGCTAAAACATTTTAAATATTTTTAGTGCTTTAATTGAAGTATACCATTTAAATTTAAAAAAAATAGATTCAAGCAGTTCGAAGTATTTATAAACTAAACCAAATGCCCAAAAAGCACATGATCAAAGCTGTATGTATCAGAAAATTATGAGCACTCGGGAAAATATATATGGCTTCTAAGATTAATAGAAAACAATAAAATTTTTGGTATTAAGAAATACAATATAAACTAGTAAATGTACCCTGTAAAATTTATTAAGATTCTTCACTCATAAAAACTTATAAGCTGATAGCATATCCTATAGTATCGAAATCTGTCAAATATGTAGGATGACCATTAACATTTCTGTAAGTGCATTGAGAAATTGCAGGCCACGGCGGAAATGGGAATGGAAATGTGAATGTGAATGGGCCACTGGATCGAGAATAAGAATGAGAATGGACTCACATGAGTGGCCGGGGTACGGCTGGAAATTATGCAAAGCGCAGCGTCAAGTCACGAAAATACCGAGTAGCGGTGCAGTCGCCACGGCGTTGACAATTTTCACCTTTTCGCCTTTTGTCTTTGCACGACGACGTTTAATCAAGATTTATGGCAATTGACTGAGCGATTCCTGCCGAGATATATGTGATATAGCGATTGCGTGGGCGTGTGTCGGACGTCCAGCGGAATTCTTTTGCGTAAGAAATGCGCTAATCAAAGTGAGGTGACGTCTGCCCGCGGAATCCGCAAATTGAAAACGCGTATAATTGAAATTAGAAGCCGTGCCCTTTCAAGCCAGAAATACCCAGTGTGCATTAGCATTAAATAATTTGGAGATTGTGGCCAGTTGGCTTTGATGTCGGCTGATGGTCAGTAAATGGGTTAGAGTTACCCGCCCCATCCCAAAAATTCAAATTCTAGCCCAGAGACTGGGAAACAAACGTTTTGGCCAGAACAGAACAGAATACCATGGCCAATTGGGCAGGTAAACGGCTTTCGGTTCTCCGCTTTGCTTTGGCATTCTTATTGGTTTTTTAGGGCCACAAACTTGAATCTTCACATGTCTGTTGGGTTCGTATTTATCATATTTTGCTCTGTTCCCACTTATATACTTATATATACATACACTGATAACAAAATGGAATAGTAAAAATAAATATCTGACTATTGAGTTCAAAATTGTAAACTTAATATTTAAATTAAATATTAATTTCAAGTTTTAAATACAATGCGTATTAAATTACATGATTAAATGTCAAATACTTTAATTAATGTTGAAGGTATTAGATTTAAAATAGTTCCTAATTGATAAAAATACAATTTACTTGGATATTATTAGTTATCAGCTATTAAAATCAATTACGAAAATAGTCAAATTATAAATATTAACATATTTTAATATTTTTTTCTTTTTTAAAATAACTAAAAAAAATTAAAAGGTACAATTTTTAAATTGATTACAAAGTATTTGAATTTACTACGTTATTTTTACCAGTCTATTTATCTAGAACCATGGTAGATAGGTGTGTGCTGAATAGTGTGTTTGAAATCTGACTGAATCATCCTGACGCCGGTTGTAACAATGCGTGCAATGACCTGTGAAATTATGTGGATTATATGAACTTATCCCTCCCCCGTTTCTCTCATTTCTCTGGGATTCCCCGAAGGCTCAACCTAAGCTTTCCTGGAACTCCTCGTATTCTCACGCCTGTGTGAATGTTATTTTAAAGCTGAGTTGCGTTTAAAATACTGAGAGCGCACCCGTCTGCCAACAATCAATATATTAGTGCGCTTATTTACTTACTAATGTTTACCGTTTTCGATTTGCATAGCAAACCTGAAATATAGATCGAGTTTGGCTTGCCCGCCAAGTTGCTGATTAGACGGCTTAGAATTTGCTAATTGACAGCCAAAGTCATGTTGGCCAGGGATTAACTATACTATCCAATCAATATAAATTGGGAGAACGTGCAAATGACCTGCTGCGATTTTGTGCCTTAACGAATAAGTTCTCCTTTCGGGTCAAGTTTGCAATTGCCAAAGGTTTTAGTTGGGCTTATTTAGTGCTGTAATTTTCTTTGTAAATCACACATTTTGCTAATTTGTTCTTAATTAAATTACAACTCGAAGGAAAACTATTTTCAGGCTAGTACATATGGACTTAAACCAGACCTAAACCAATCATACATTCAGTACGTGCTTAAACCCAAAAGCATGCCATCGCAAAATGAAAAAGAATGACAAAATGCTAACAAGCATTCTTTGCAGTTTTTAACGAATGAACATGCTTTTGTCGATATTCCACTGGGTGTCATGTGATCCATTTGGCTACTGGGAAATGCTGGAAATTGATACGACTTAAAGGCTGTCACTGGCACATGCCACATGACCCATATCCACTTTTATTGCACACTTAGCCAGAGTCATTAAGCTGCGGTTAAGGCGACAATATTCATATGTGTCGCCGCGCTGCTTTACGATCTAGCTCTACCATTTCGCCTAGGTCTGTAGCTTAGCGGCAGGTGCTTACTTTAATAAGCTGCTGGCAAACAAACTGAGCAATCAGCACGATTTTGGACCGCCATCTCGAATCGTCAAAATTCTCTAGTTCAAACCACTTACCCAATTCAAAATATGGGTTTTCAAGTGCAGGAAATAGGTCAAATATATTCATCACCCTTTTTTTTGCTTTACAAATTTGTATAAATTATTAAAAATTTTCTCAAATTAATTTGAATTTTTGAGGCAACTTATCGTTTGCGTAAAAATGATTGCTGCATTTTAAGATTTGCTTAAAATTTGAAATG